CAGGGAAGCTTTTAATGTTTGACAGACTACTGTATTTTAATATTTTGTAGGAAGCCGTCCAGACTGGCTGGGTTTCCAGCTGGGTGGGGTATAAATGAATTATTATTATTATTATTATTATTATTATTATTATTATTATTCCTGTCCAGATACAGGCAAATTCCCTTTATGGGACTCTCTGCTAGACCTGCCTCCACCCTACCAGCCTTTCCATATAGTTGTGAGCAACCAGGAACAGTTGGTGGATGAGCCATCCAAATGTCACATACTTTCAGCGTAAATACGTTCTCTATTTTTTTAAAAAAGATACATCCTCATGAGAAAAACAGCTGATTTCTCCATTTTCGCACTATTATTACAGCTGACAACAAAATCATATGATAAAAAGCAAGGTTGATGAAACCACTGATCTGTGTAATCCAATCCTTTTCTCTGAATCAAATACACGTGGTGTTGCTTTTCCTAATATTTTATTGAACAGCAAGTAAACTTGGCACATTTTTTTTTTGACAGGGAAAAAGCAGGAAACAAATTACTTCTTCTGTAGTACTGCAGAAAAGCAATAGATACTGTACATATAGTTTTTGGTAGTTTCCTGCATGTCAGAATATAGCAAATAAGTAAATCTAATATTGGGGGGTAGTTTTGCAATGGATGTTGTAAACGTTCCTTTCTCCACATTTTCCATTTGTTACTTTGTATATTTATGCATTTTACATACATCAGTTATACAATTGTCACTGTTTATCTTACACTTCTTCATGCCTCCCTCTGTTGGGGTCTTTTTTAGTCTTTGTTAAGCTGCATCTCCTTAATTACCACCCATCTTCTGCTTATTTTATATGCTGCTCATATATCTAATCCCACTTGGAAGTGGTGTATCAAGAAACATGGCAAAGCTTCCTTTGACTATTCATCTAATCCTTTCAGCCAGATATAGCAGGGATTGATATAGCATATTTGCTATGCCACAAATCTATGTTTCTGGGTATGGTCTAAGGCAGGGAGGTACAACATGTGGCCTGAGGGCCTTGATACCCTTTTTGGTGGCCCTCAGCAACATTTGATGCCTCCCTTTGCAACTCTTGCACTGCCTTCCCAAACCTAGATAAGCAAGGTGCTGGGCTTTGGGTATGAGGCATGAGTGCTCTGACATTGTCCTCCAGTCCTCCAGCCTCCTTTCCAGAGCTTAGCTAGCGCTTTCCCAGATTTAGGAAGAAGGTGGGAGGGCTCTACGACCCAGCCAGAGCCTCATGCCTCCTTCCCAAAGCCTCACTTATCTGGCTTTGGAAGTCAGCATAAGGGCTGGGGGAGGACATCAATTTTTGGCCAGGATCTCACCCTCCTGCACAACAAGGCAGGATCAGTGTCGAAGTACTCTTGCAGCCCACTTGGTATGAAAAGTTGGACCACGCTGGTCTATGGAAACTCCAGGCAAGGACTCACACACTCACCTCTCACTTGTCCTCCAAGACTGGAAGCTTACATTTTTTTAGAATTTCAATTAACCACAGTTTATGTTATGTCAGAACCCTAAACTGTCATTAATCTTAACTACACTTTGCTTAAATGAGCCACATTCATAACCCATGACTTGACGTTGGCTTGTGCCAAACAAACCATAGTTTAGATTAACTGCAGTCTGTCTGGCTAATAAATGATGAAAGCAAAGATTTCTGGACACCTCAAGCCCACACCGGGGGAGGAGTGTATGAGACCTTACCTAGGTTTTTTCCTGCCCAAACGCAAGTAATTGCAACCACTGAGTTGAGCCATCATTCTATCCAGCTCAGTGCTGTCTGCTGTGGCAGGCAATGGCTCTCTGAGGCTTTCTGCAGAGGCATTCGGCCCTGTCCTTGAGATTATTTAAATGGAGACTGAACATAGCATCTTAGGCATGCAAAGCATGTCTTCTTCCATTGAGCTATGGGTTTCTGCTTCAATCCTGCAACAGTTCTGAGCCTGGCAGCAGTCGGTCATGCTTTCATAACCCTGAGGTTAGATTACTGTAATGCACAGTAATGGAGCCCAACAAGGAAACGTATGCAACGTGATTAGATGGAATGGACTCTGTTGTCAGCAGTTAGTACTCTTGCAATCCATCCTTCAACTTCCATATGCAACATGCAGCATGCAGCCTGCCTGACCTTTCCATGCCCCCAGATTTTCTCTGACACCTATCTACCCTATCTGTGGAATTGCTTAGAACAGGGACCGTGTTCACATCCCAAGTTAATGGTTGCACATTTTTCATGACAACAAGACTTTCTCCACCCAATAAATCTCGGGAACTGCACCCAACAACAAAGCTGTAAATTATTTTTTCTTTTGTAGGGTCATAGAGTATATTCCTTTGATGTGGCAGGTTTCGGGACAGGTTTTGTTTTTATAAGAAAACAGCTCCTAATTCTTCATCGGAGGTGATCAATCCACTAAAGGGTTAGGAGGGACAGAGCGGGAAATTTCATTATATGCGGATGACATAATGATTACCTGCCAGGTAATCTAAAGAATCATCTTCTCCCACAAGCCACTGCCTGAATGTTACAGTCTCTCTTCTACAATTAGGTGGGTGATGACTGGAGGGTGGGCTTCTTTGATAATGGTGTCTCATATATTTCAATAGGGACAAATGTAAGGTTCTGCTCTTAGTCAAGAATTAAGCAGCTGCACAAATATAAGAAGGGGGGACATCTGGCTTGCCAGCAGCACATGTGGAAATGATCTAGGGGTCTTAGTAAACCACAAGCTTAATGTGGGTCAACGGCGTGATGCAGCAGCAAAAAAAGCCAATGCTCTTCCAGGCTGTATCAACAGAAGTATAATGTCCAGATCAAGCGAAGTAATAGTACTGTTCTATTTTGCCTTGGTCAGATCACACCTGGAGTACTGTGTCCAGTTCTGGGCACCACAATTTAAGGAGGATATTGATAAGCTGGAACGTATGCAGAGAAGGATGACTAAGTTGATCAAGGGTCTGGAAACCAAACCTTATAAGGAGTGGTTGAGGGAGTTGGGTATGTTTGGCCTAGAAAAGAGGAGACTGAGAGGAGATATGATAGCCATCTTCAAATATCTAAAGGGCTGCCACATGAAAGGAACCAGTGGATTCAAGTTACAAGAAAATCAAGTACAAACACAAAAAATATTTGGGACAATAGGAAATGTTTTAAATTATCAAAGCTTTGGAAGGCACTGGGAATTAAAATAAACAGAATTCCTAAATTATATTTCTTGTTTTAACTGCTCCAGATTACAAAAGAGCTTACAAAATAATGTAGGGTCTCTGTGTGTGTGTGTTTGTGTGTTTGTGTTTGTGTGTGTGTGTGTGTAAATTTTTATAATATTATTTTATTGCTGTGCATGCGAGGAGGGACTCCAACTATGGCTATTTCTGGCATCAATAATAAATTCATTGCCAATGTAAATCCTTTTATATACGTTCTTCTGTAATGCTCAGCAAAAACAAGTTTCTCTTCCAATGTTTGCCTTTGGCACCAGAGGTGTCCCATGTGGTCAGCCATCTGCCCCCATCAACAGTTAAGCCACTGCATTTTGTACCAGTTGGAGCTTCTGGGCCATGCCAAAGGGCAGGTCCACCTAGAACATATTGCAGTAATCCAGTCTCAAGGTTTCCAATGTCTGGACCACAGTTGCCAGGTTACACCAATGAAGATACAGCCATAGCTGAGATACCAGACACAGCAGGTTGTCACAGCAGGAGCAATCAGATGGGTTCTGCTGGTGCATTTTTTCCTACGGGACCGCCTCTCCTGGTATGTCCCACAGAGGACCTTACGGTCTTCAAACAAAAAAATCTTGGAGGTCCCGAGCCACAGGGAGGTTAGGCTGGCCTCAACCAGAGCCAGGGCTTTTTCAGCTATGGCTCCGATCTGGTGGAACGCTCTGTCACAAGAGACTAGGGCCCTGCGGAACTTGACATCTTTCCACAGGGCCTGCAAGACAGAGCTGTTCCACCAGGCCTTTGGCCAGGTCAGAGCCTGACCCCCCTCCTTTGGTAATCCTCACAGAACTCTAGCCCAATGGTTGCCATTAATTTGATTTGAACTGATTTTATAATGAAATGATTTTAGAATGTTGTGTTATTTTACTGTTGTGAGCCGCTCTGAGCCCGGCTTTGGCTGGGGAGGGCAGGATATAAATAAAATATTATATTATTATTATTATTATTATTATTATTATTATTATTATTATTATTTTATTGTTCAGCTCCTTGATCTCATGAGGAGCAACCCTTTGTGTGAAATCTCTGTCTCCATGTCATCGGCTAATCCTGGCATAGACAAGGAAGCGCACCACATGCTAAAAGTCAGCATCCTGAATAAGTTGCACTACATATTATGGGATGGGACAGGACCTCAGTTGGGCCTGCAATTCTCAGGAGTAACCCCATGGTTCTTATACAGCTTAATTCTACCTTTAGTGTCTCTGGCTTCATTTAGATAATGTGCTGCCTAACTATAATAAATGAAAATAATATGCATTAGTAGCCAGAGCTCATTTTCATCTTCATGCTACACTGGCATAGAGTGTACTATAAATCATCTTTTGGCTATATACAATTAATTTCCTCTCCTTTCCCCATCTGCTTTTACTTTGTACCACTGTCTGTTTTTAGATTTGATTTGCTAAGGTCACCATTAGATTCCAGTTGAACAGTTGGTACTTAATATTAAAACATCTTTTTGATGGTAAAGTTATACTTTTCAAAACTGAGAGACAAAGACTATTTCACCTCTTTGGAGAGTTTGGACCTCCTGTATTACAGAAGGCAAGGGGATAAAAATGAGTTTATTTTGGCCTTATTTGAAAGACTGGCAAACGCAATTGGCATTTTCATCATTCTTAAGGAACATGGGGGAGACGGTCCGTAATTCCATTTGTGAGGTCTTTGAAAGATGACTCCACAGAAGTTATCTGCATTTGAGATGATTCTGCATATGCTATTTCAGGATAAAAACCTTTTTTATAATTTTCAGGATAACTGTTCTTCCAGATGGGAGCCTCAGAATCCTGAATTCCACCAAATCCGATGAGGGAAGATATGTATGCCGAGGCGAAAATGTATTTGGTTCTGCAGAAATAGTTGCTTCAGTGTTTGTTAAAGGTAAGACGTGGCTGTTTGTTGCATTTATTTATATTTCTATACCACTCCCCACCCTATAATATACCCCAGATACACTTTCAGATTACACACACACACACACACACACACACACACCCCCAAAAAACAATTCAAGATCCAAATATCAAGATTACTCTTAATATGCTAACTTATCCCCATCCCTTCCATGGGTCCTAGTGATAATATTTACAACTGCATATCAATACTATCCAAGTTTTATCCTTCCAAACTGTCCATACTTTCCGTTAGTTTACAAGTGTGGTTAGAATCCTGCTAGTGTTTTAACCTGCTTACAATGGTCTTGTAAATAAATTGTAAACTTTTCCAATTCTTTTTTAAAGCTCTTTTCCTCCATTTTCAGATTCTTCATTTATCAAATTATACCGCCCTGTACCCTTAGATCTCAAAACGTAAAATTACTATATATATAGAGAGAAAGTAATTTTACATTTTGAGATCTAAGGGTACAGGGTGGTATAATTTGATAAATAAAGAATATTTAAAGGTATAATCTAGTTGGCCACTGTGAGAACAGAATACTGGACTAGATGGGCCATTAGCGTAATCTTTGTCCTTGAGTTGCCTTTGTTTTTATTATGTATTGTGTGTGTGTGTGTGTGTGTGTGTGTGTGTGTGTGTACAGTGGTACCTCTGTTTAAGAACTTAATTCGTTCCGGAGATCTGTTCTTAACCTGAAGCACCACTTTATCTTATGGGGCCTCCCGCCACCACCGCACGATTTCTGTTCTCATCCTGAAGCAAAGTTCTTAACCCGAGGTAGTATTTCTGGGTTAGTGGAGTCTGTAACCTGATGCATCTGTAACCTGAAGTGTCTGTGACCCGAGGTACCACTGTACACACACACACACACAAACACAAAATACATAATAAAAACAAAGACAATGCAAGGACAAAGATTACACTAATGGTCCATCTAGTCCAGCATTCTGTTCTCCCAGTGGCCAACTAGATACCTTTGGAAAGACTGCAAGCAGAACCTGAGCACAGTTGCACTCTGCCCTCCTGCAGTATCCAGAAACTGGTTTTCAGAAGCATGCTGGAACCTACTGCCACTCAGTGTAGATAATACCGATCTGCTGGTCCAACAATATAAGGCAGCTTTCTATATTCCTAGCCTAGCACACCATGCCACACATTGCTTTTGTCTCTTCAGAGCCTACCAAGATAGACCTGTCTCCCAAAAGGACCGAGCTGACAGTGGGAGAGAGCATTGTCCTCAGCTGCAAGGCCATTCATGACCCCACCTTAGATGTCATGTTCCACTGGATTCTGAATGGGCAGCCTATCGATTTTGAGAAAGAAGGAGGACACTTTGAAAGCATCAGGGCGGTGAGCATCCTTCAAAAATCCATTTCTTTTCGAAGTGGGGGGGGGGAGAATCGAATGGGGAAATGGTTTGCTGGAGAGAGGTCTTTTCATCACAGAAATATTTCAGACATGACCGGAAGAAATGTAATTACAGTCAAGGGCTTTAAAAAGAAAGAAAGAAAGAAAAAGAAATGTTAGCTCACCGAATTAAGTATCTCATTTGTGTTAATTGAAGCATAGGAATATTTACTTTAGTCGAGAAGGAAATAGCCGTGAATCTTTACAGTGTAGCTACTGGTGAGACATTCATGAGCCTAGTGAGAGAGAAAAAACCCATACCTTTTTGTAAATTGTAGCCTCTTCTGCATGGTGCATTAAAAGCAGTATTATACCGCTTTAATAGCCGAGGCTTCCCTCAAAAAACTTCTGGGAACTGTAGTTTGATAAGTCTAGCCCTCTTCCCATGGAACCCTGGGAGTTGTAGCTCTGTGGGGGGAATAGGGGTATCCTAAAAAATCTCAGCATCCTTTACAAACTACAGATTCCAGGGTTCTTTAGGGTAACCCAAGACTGTTTAAAGTGGTATAATAGTGTTTTAAATGTGTGGTGCAGATGAAGCCCACACTTCTAGCAAACATTTCTTCCTGGTATGTTTAAACTAGTTCAAGGAGAAGTGCTAACAAAAAGCTGGTTATGTGGTCTTAGTTATTACAGACAAAATACAATTGATGGAGTACATTCAGTTTCATTTATTTTGTAATTTTCTACGCCATTGCAAAGGTTATGTTATCCAGTGTTTAATATGCAAGCTAAATACTGTGCATTTTTTTAGCCATTAAAATAATTTAAATTCATCAAATTAATCAGAGTGATTAATAAAGCTGGTTGTAAACTGGACATTATTTAATCAATGGACAGCCTTAGTAAATGTCCTTTTTTTGCTTATGTAAATGAAGTCAGCAAACCTCCAGCAAACTGGGCATCATTCTGGAAGGACCTGTTATCTTGATAGTACCACTTTTAGATCTTTGAAAGGACTCCCGAACAAGGGAATTTCTGGCACAGTGTGCAATTGTGTTGTTTGTAATGAAGATCGGTTTTCTGTTAAATGTGTTCCTTGTTGTGGAAAAAAATTACAATATGGATTATATATTTGGGGGAGGAATCCTTTTTCTAAGTTTCAGCCCATTTCTACTCACCTACAATTGGTCCAATGTAACAACTAGCGATCCTAGATTGGAACCCATTTCAAAAGAGGCATCCAGCCCATTGCTATATTTTGTCATTGGAATGAGGAGCTTCAATAAGAAGGTTGGCCATGCTTCAGGGCACCCTCTCAGGGTTATTTGCAATGCTGTGTTCTGTGTGCAAGTGGAACAGACTTCGGCTTGTGCAATGGGACTTCACCTTCCTCTCCTCCTCACTGGAGTCTTCTGTGGGCCTTTCAAAATCTTCTCCAGAGCATTGGATGCCCCTCCCTAGCAGCTTCTCGGGTAACAAGTAATAACCATTAAAGTTAAAGCTATGGTTTTCCCAGTAGTGATGTATGGAAGTGAGAGCTGGACCACAAACAAGGCTGATCGCCGAAGAATTGATGCTTTTGAATTATGGTGCTGGAGGAGACTCTTGAGAGTCCCATGGACTGCAAGAAGATCAAACGCATCCATTCTTAAGGAAATCAGACCTGAGTGCTCACTGGAAGGACAGATCGTGAAGCTGAGGCTCCAATACTTTGGCCACCTCATGAGAAGAGAAGACTCCCTGGAAAAGACCCTGATGTTGGGAAAGATGGAGGGCACAAGGAGAAGGGGACAACAGAGGACGAGATGGTTAGACAGTGTTCTGGAAGCTACCAGCGTGAGTTTGACCAAACTGCGGGAGGCAGTGGAAGACAGGAGGGCCTGGCGTGCTCTGGTCCATAGGGTCACGAAGAGTCGGACATGACTAAACGACTAAACAACAACAAAGCATTCGTGCGCACTCCCCCACCCCCTCCAACCTGCCCTCCAAGTCTGGCAAGACCTGGCTGAGAGAGAGAGGGGTGTGCAGAAGCTTTTTCAGAACACACAAAAACAGAAGCAGTAGTATGCTGCCACCACTTCCCTATCTCAGAACAGCTCCAAAAAGTAACCTAAGGAAGGAGATTACCCTTCAGCATTTCCGGGCTGCCCCACCCTGTGTCACTTTACCGTGGCACAGAGAGAAATCCAACAGGCTCTGGTAGGCGACTAAGTGGTCAGGTGCTGGTTTAGCTTCCCCAGCAGAAAGGCACAAAAGACAGAAACAGGAAAAAGTCCTTTTTCCAGAATTTATTAAAAAACAAGATTATTCAAACATAAAAGTTGGCACATCTCTTACAAATCCCAAACAAAAAATAAAAACATCGTTTAATATCACTTGCTACAAAACATACATTGGTACCTCGGGTTAAGTACTTAATTCATTGCAGAGGTCCGTACTCAACCTGAAACTGTTCTTAACCTGAAGCACCACTTTAGCCAATGGGGCCTCCTGCTGCTGCTGCACTGCCGGAGCACGATTTCTGTTCTCATCCTGAAGCAAAGTTCTTAACCTGAAGCACTATTTCTGGGTTAGCGGAGTCTGTAACCTGAAGCGTATGTAACCTGAGGTACCACTGTACTCACAACAAGAATGAAAGTGTGAAACAGAACATTTCAAAAACACCCTCAGCTAACTCCGCATTCCCCGGCATCAGGGCAAGCCCTCTCTGCGTGACAATGGTGTCACATGGCAAAGTAGGTTAGGCAAGGCGGGCTGTGAACTTCAAGGAGACTGCAGGGGGAGGAAAGTCCAGTACACTCAAGTAACGGGGGATTCCATCCCAGAAATCTCCCAGAGTCCTTTGCAACAGGCAAGTGTCCATGACAGATGTGCAAGGACACTTCGGCTGACAAACACTGGTGCGTAAAGGATGCCCCGAACGTGTGTGAAAACCAGTACCCTACCACTTTTGCTTCTTCTTTTTTACTAGTTTTAACTTTCCAGTTACTTTTTTTAAAAAAAGTGGAAACTATTCAACTTTAAAATGTCAGGAAGACTAAATGAAGTTCAGTAGCAACAAGGTCCATATGCATAAAATCACTTGTCAGAAAATGCTGCGCTAATTAAGTAGTTTTCATGGGATGTGGCAATGTTCTCTAAAACCTTCCTTTTCAAACCACAATGCTTTAATTGGAGAATTCCTGCTAAATAAATGCTGTGAGTCATCCTGATTCCTGATGGTGCCTGACGGCTTTGCCAGTGATATGGAAAGTGAAAAAGGACCATTATTTTCAAGACAACTTATAATATGACCTCCTAGTGGTACAGCAATAAAACTGCTAGCACATTTGCCAAAGCTAAGCAGGGTCTGGTGTAGTTTCAAATTGAATGGGGGACTGCGTGTTCAGATTCCTGCATTGCAGGAGTTTGGACTAGATGACTAGGTTATACCACCTTCCATCGTCACTTATGGTTTCCCTGATGACCATGCTATGGCAGTTGCTTAGCTGTGCTGGCTAGGGTTGATGGGAGTTGCAGGCCAGCGGCAATAAGAGGTCCACAACTTCCCCACCAATGAGCATGGACACAATCCATCTGTAAAGGCTTCTCCATTCATTTGCCCCTGCATGTGGACTTCCAACCTGATTCCCACCCAGCCCAAATCCTGTCCATTTATTTATTTTATTTTATTTTATTTTTATTTTATACCCCACCCTCCCCGGTCAAGACCGGGCTCAGGGTGGCTAACATCAGGTATAAAAACAATTGATTAAAATACAACTTAAAAACAAGATTAAAATACAACATTAAAATGCAGCCTCATTTCAGTGGAAGCCCAGATCAAAAACTGTTTGGGGGGAGAAAACTTCAAATCTTCATCAAGTCCAACTATCCAGACTGGTCCTACGTGGGCCAGAAAAGCCAGGGAAGTCCCCAAATAGGGGTTCCATCACAGAAGGAAATGGAAAGGGTGGGAGGGATCAGGCTGGTTCCATGTGGTTTTGACCTCCAAAATGACCAAAATAGTCCAGAGATGGGGTTTCCTGGCCACTATGGTAAAGTAGAAAGAGCCCCAATTCAGCATTGGTCCAGCTAGCAAAGCCAACGGCCAGAAATTAAGGGACTTGTAGTCCAAAACATCTGCATGGCGCCATGTTGGCTGCCCTAACGAGTAAAACAACAACTCTTAAAATATAGCCCCATTGGGTCTCCTGTATATACCAGGCTGTAGCTGGTTAAAACAATAACAATAATGTATTTATATGCCACTCATCTTACTGGGTTGCTCTAGCCACTCTAGGTGGTTTACAAAAAAAATTAAACATCAGTCCCAGTAAAGCATCAAACATTAAAACTTCCCTAAACAGGGCTGCCTTCAGAAGTCTTCTAAAAGTCAGATAGTTCTTATTCTCCCTGGCATCTGATGGGAGGGCGTTCCACAGGGCGGGTGTCACTACTGAGAAGGCCCTCTGCCTGGTTCCCTGTAGCTTCACTTCTCACAGGGAGGGAACTGCCAGAAGACCCTCGGAGCTGGATCTCAGTGTTCGGGCTGAACAATGGGGGGTGGAGATGCTCCTTCAGGTATACAGAGAAAGAAGGCAGCTTGAACAACATGCTAAATCATATGATTACTGAGTATAGAGCATGTCATCAATGCATGGCGAAGCCAGAGCCATGAACACTCCTGGATGGGTGTCTTTGGGACATGGAAGAACAGTTGTACTTCCTCTTCTTTACTGTTGGCTTCTCTTTCAAGATCTGTGAATAAGAGCAGAATCAAGGGCTGAGGTGCTTTTGTTTTGTTTTGCTGAGATATTTCAGAATGCCGGGAGCTGCATTCTTCCAAGTCAGAACATCTAGCTTGGTAATATCTTCACTGAATATCCAGGGCTTCAGGTGGAAGTCTCTCCCAGCCCTGGGCTCCCTTGGAAGGAAGGTTGGAAGATAAGTTTAATAAATAAAATAAACTGAATTCCTGGGTTGAACTTGGAGTGCATGCAAAGTTTATGACTTACGGCCTTGCTGCTCAGAAGGAGGATTGGTCAGAAACATACACATTCAGTGGACACTCCAGCTGAACCCCTTGTTTGTCTTCTGATTTCTAAACATTTCAAGCAAACAACAGCATGCATAATTTTCGTTCCACGGAGTGGATCATACAGTTTGCAACCTGCCAAGCAGAGCGGACCCACCAGCAAAGTTGTAGGGCCAGGAATCAGACCCTAGTGGTGAATGGTTGGCACCTGTGGCTATGTTCTCTGCCTAAGAACCATCCTTCCAGATGCATCTTGTTGGAATAAGTGCAAAGGGTTCTGTTATATTGCTCTTATCTTTCCCCACCTGAAAAACTATTATTCACCCCCTTTCCATCAGTCTCCCATTTAGGTATGTAGGCTGAATACCTATTTGCCTTCCAGAGGAGAACATTAGGATTCGTTCACTGTGAACCTCCTCTCAGAGTGCCAGCTACATTTTTTTAAAGGCACCGAGGCAATAAAAGCAGACAGTCACTGTATATATATGATACTTTTATTTGCTTTAACAACAAGGCACGCATTAAATGTAAATTATTCTCAGAGGGAAAGCGAAATGTGGACCGGTTTTGGTCTTACCCTTTAACTATCTGTGGTTTTATATCGAAAACATTAATCTTCTCGAATACCCTATATTTCATGGCTAATCAGCGATGTCGTGCTAGACAAGTTGCAAACTTTGCATCCCCAAGCTGGCACCTTGCTAAAGTGAAATATAGTGATTCATCACATCTTCAGAGTTGCAATGAACTACTGGGTTGAGAAATTCTGAAAGTCTGCAATGGAAGCATGGGAATTGCTGTTCTGTATTTTTCTCGTGCGCAATTGCCTTAGACAAGTGCCAACAGTTCTGTCAGGCTTGATATACCCAAGGAAGAGTTATGTTATTAGTGGAGTATCACCTGTGCGTGAGAGAGTGTTTGTATGTTTCAACACTTATCCAGAGTTTGAATTTGCCAATTGTCTGTAAATACTAGATCTAAAAGGCACAATTGAATTCAAAACGCTGGTATGAAAAAGTGATTGCATCATCCTATTTTTCCAGCTGGTAAGAGCTTCCACGGATGGGGTATTTATCGTTAAACGGTGTGTTGGGTATGAGAAAGAATACTGAAGATATATAGCGTCTTTTCATTATCTGCTTGTTTGCAAATATACAAGCAGAGCACTTTAGAAGCAAGCAACCTCCTAAAATAGGCAGCGCAACTACTAATCTTGCAACAGATTCATAAAAAAGCAATAGATCCCCTAGGTTTGATCCATCCCAGTTAAAATGCCAACTCCTCTGTTTAGCCCCCTGTGGCAAACTGCTTCTCCTTCTGGCACATAGATGTTACCAGTCTTGAACAACTTCCTGCATATAGGTTGTCGATTTAGAAAAATCTAACCAGCCATCCCCTCCCATTGAGGAACTAATCACCCCCAGACCATTATAAAACAATCTGTTCAAACAAAAGTGGGCAAACCATGACATGGGAACTGAATGATCAGGGTTGGAGCCAGCATCAGTTCATGTGATCACAGTGACCAGGGACTCAGCCAGATTGGTAAAGAAAAAGCATTTTATGTGTGTTGTATACGGAACGCGGGTGGCACTGTGGGTTAAACCACAGAGCCTAGGACTTGCCGATCAGAAGGTCTGCAGTTTGAGGCCCACGACAGAGTGAGCTCCCATTGCTCAGTCCCTGCTCCTGCCAACCTAGCAGTTCAAAAGCATGTCAAAGTGCAAGTAGATAAATAGGTACCGCTCTGGCAGGAAGGTAAACGGCGTTTCCGTGCACTGCTCTGGTTCACCAGAAGCGGTTTAGTCATGCTGGCCACATGACCCGGAAGCTGTATGCCGGCTCCATCAGCCAATAAGGCGAGATGAGCGCCGCAACCCCAGAGTCAGCCACAACTGGACCTGGGTCACTTTACCTTTACCTTTACAAATAAATCAGCCTAATAAATTTATGGAGAAATGGGTGTTCTTTCTGATATGTTAGAATAAAAAGTGCAATGATAACGTAAAGCAATTACCCCCCCCCCCCGCGTGCGCACCAGAATTATTGTGAATTTTTTTATAAATTTTGTTATCAAGAAAGAATGCAAAAATAAAACTAAATCTGAGAAAGGAGGAAGTGATAGAATTCAGTTTAAATGAAGGGTGCATTTTATCAAGGACCCTCCAAAAACAGGCAAACCTAGAGACTAGGGCCCTGCGGGACTTGACATCTTTCCGCAGGGCCTGCAAGACAGAGCTGTTCCACCAGGCCTTTGGCCAGGGCACAGCCTGACTCCCTCCCTCGGCAATCTTCGCGGAGCTCTGGCCCAATGGTTGCCAGTGGCTTGAATTAATTAATTTTATAATGAATGATTTTAGAGTGTTGTTTATGCTGTACTTTTGTACTGTTTTATTGTTGTTAGCCGCCCTGAGCCCGGCTTCGGCTGGGGAGGGCGGGATATAAATAAAATTTATTATTATTATTATTATTCTAAATATGGGTGTGAAGATCCCACAACTCTAGTGTAATATGATTCATGACACTATCAGCAACATTTTAAGAAGTGTATGCTCAAACTGCAGAATGTCCAGAAAAGGTTTAGCAGGATGGTGAACAACCTAGACACCAAGTCCTATGAAGAACGGTTGAAAGAGCTGGCATGTTTAGCCTGGCGAAGAGAAGTTTCAGGTCATTATGCTGTTTTTAAATCATTTTCCGTAACCAGGTTTCTAGGGATTCCAGACAGTGAATCAGAGAGTTGCAAACTAATAAAGAGAGAGAGATAAAGTACATTTAAAACACACACAAAAACCTCTTTGCAATGGATGGTAATGATAAACTGTAAGTACGGTGTACATTAAGATGTAATTCAGTAAGAAAGTCCCCAGCATCAAGCTCATAATTTTCCCTATTAAATGCTGAAAGGGACAGTGTGTTATTGTGAGTCAATACAGCACAGCGTTTCTAAGAGCTCCGGTTGCAATTTAAGAAGCTTATCATCTGCCACTCTGTAATTTTTTAAAGAAGCAGATAATGACATAGTTATCCTGTCTTGGCTTTAAACAGCACTCTTTTATGGGGCATCGAAAGATGTCGAACTCAGCAACTTGGCTTACAAGTACAGAAAAATGCTACTGCATTCTCAATTCACAGCATTAAAACTGGCTTTTCTCATAACGCCACTCGAATATACATAATAATAAATAATCATAATCACGGACTGATGGGTGAATAGTGCTCCAGTCTAAATATAGCAGTCAGTTCCCTCCCTGTTATCTCGTTCCAACTCTCTGAGCCCCCAGGCTCATGTATAGATGGAGGAGGAATTCAATTCAGTTCACAGCTGAAGGCAAATCTGCCTAGTCTGAATTTTCCGAAACAATATGAGAACTGAAGCAAAGCCTCCCTTTGGAATTCGCACTTCTCTGAATTTTGTGATGTGTTTTGTGATGTGTCCAGGGTGACCCAATAAGTTCATGTCTGAGTGGAGGTTTGAACCCTAGTCTTCTAGGTCCTGCTCCAACACTCTTAACCACTGGGTGTCTGTGACATGTGTGTTGGAGGGCAGGGTTACTACCATTAATGTGTTGAGTTGGAGATTGGAATAAGGACTTCCAAAGCTCCCAGTCAAACCTGTTTCCCTGTTTTACAAAGAAAGATTTGTGATGTTTTTTAAGCTGGTGCTATTGTATTGCTTTCTCCTTTCTTTCCAGCAAGCGTCCTCTGCAGATTTAATGATCAGGAACATTCTTCTGATGCATGCTGGGAGATATGGCTGCAGGGTACAGACCACAGCAGACAGTATATCAGATGAGGCAGAACTTCTTGTGAGGGGTGAGTATGCTAATAGCAGCATTTGAGGACACGATAAACATAAATGATCCTGCAAAGGCATTTCAAGGCATTCTTGCCTTGTGCTTGGTTTGTTCCTTCTCTCTTGTATGTATCATTTACGTGACATTTTCCCTTTCACAATTTTTGTCTCTGCAAACAAGGAGCACGTGGTCAGAGTTTGTAAAGGCTGGTGACGAACAAAATATAAAAACTGACAGAGGTGATAACTTTAAAAGTCTCGGTGATCACACGGGAGACTCAAATGTCCGGTAGACGTAGAGATCAGTTATATTGATAATCTCACCTTTTCTTTTGGAGAGGGCTTCTGAAAAACGTTGCTCATCCTTCGGAATGATTTTTGGTTACAAAAAGTAGGTTCTACCTATAAACATGCACATTAAAGACTCAAAAGGAAGAAAGTCCATTGGCCACTTTCAACAACCTTCCCTCTAGTTTCCAGGAATCTTACCAGACTAACAGGGTAAGTGGACACCATGCCAAACCACACTGGAAACATTAGATTTATTACATTTATGTACCCCTATCAAGATCAGGGGTCAGCAAGCTTTTTCATCAGGGGGCCAGTCCACTGTCCCTCAGACCTTGTGGGGGCCAGAATATATTTGGGGGGAATGATGGAAGAGCACCACAAGCCCCAGTGGTTGCTTAACTGTGTCTTGCAAGCGGCAGGGGCTGGCGGCGGCAGTGGAAGCAGCAGCAGGACCATGAGCGGCGCACGAAAGGGCTCCCGAGAGGGGCTGCTTAAAATGGCGGCCGCTCGAGCGCAGCTGCTACTGGCACCAACAAAGCCCAGCCCCCTTCCTCCTCTAGGCAGGGCAGGGAGAAGCCTAGAGGAGGGAGGGAGGAGGCGCCGCCATGTGAAGGAGAGGGAGGGAGAGGGAAAGAACGTGCGTGCTGGCGATTCACATGGCAATTCCCGGACCGTCCATGGGTCGGATCCAGAAGACAACTGGGCCTGATCCAGCCCACGGGCCTTAGTTTGCCTACCCATGCTCAAGATGGTATACACGGTTCTTGTCCTCCCCATTTCATCCTCACAACGACCCTGTGAGGTAGGTTAGGCTGAGAGATGAGACAGCTGGCTGCAGGGTTTTTTATGACCTGCCAATGGAGGTTAGCTGAGCCAGGAATGGTCTGGCAGAGGAACAGCGCCACCTCATTCATAGTGATGAATTGGGGACAGGGTATGTTTCTCTACCTATCATTTCTGGATTTTGACCTTAATGCGCTTGGATAAAGCTTGCAAGGTTTTTTGATCCAACATCCTGACGCTTTTCCGCCACCAATTAATGAAATATCAGCTCTATTCCCACTCTTTGAATACTTTAGAATTCTGGGTCACATAGGGTTTCCAGTCTCCAGCTTGTCAAAGACTCATGGAGCAATGGACCGTAGTGTTTTGGCTCCGGACATGCAACATCACCATGCTTGAAATATTTTTGACACACTGGCAGTGGAAAATATCAGGGATTAGCAATAGAAAGATGAAACTGAAAATGTGAAGGCCAAGGGGGGAAAATTGTGAAATTAAGGTGGGAAGAGATATTGCAGGGGTCACATTAGAGGGGGTTCTTTTTTTAATCTCTAAATTTCCACTGAAAAAATGTTTCGGATCTTCTGCAATATTTTTGTTTTCAGAATATATATACAGGGTATACAGAAGTAGGTATACAGTTGAATCAATGGAATTCATCACAACAGATTATATGGGTAGACATAACTGACACATGACAAAGTGGCTGTTAAATTTCAGACTGGCATTGGAAAGAATAGTGGAGTCAGATAAAAGGATTGTTTTTTCTTTACTGATGTTGTGAATGATGACAGAATGATAAAGAACAAAGGAAGTGGATTCTAAAGCAGTGAAGCAGTGTATCTACTTTTTGGGCCACCCTGTATAATGTTTCAAAGGAATACTGCTGCAAAACTCTGAAACCCAAGATGTTGTTGTTGTTGTTGATGATGATGATAATTTACCTGCCCTTTACTCTGAGATCCTAAGATTCAAAAGTCATCATCTGATGGCCCTGAGGTTTAAACTTGGCACCCAGTGAATGGTCTCCAAAGTCTGGCAACTCTATCTATCATCACACTTCCAAAACTATGAAAGCCTTGTGTTGTTTTCTCTCTCTAACCTTTCGTAACAGAAGTGAGCTTGCTATTTGTTTATCTTTGAGTATCTTTGAATGTAGGAAATATTGGGAGTATTAGAACTGTTACATTCATATGCTCTATTAACGCTCTATTTGAAGTCAAAATTATGACAGACTGTGCTACATAAATCCATTTCATATATCCTGGGCTTATTATGTTCTGCTTTTCTGGAGGTGGAAGCAAAGGAACTATTATGATATCAGCTTCACAAGTGTTAAATTGCCTCTGTCAAAGTCTGCCGCAGACAGCATCACCTATCAAACTGGGTTTGTTAAGGAATAGCAGTTTCTTTGCCTTACCAAGGTTTCTTTATTTTATATTTGCACTCCTACCGCATGGCCTTAAAAGCCCTCAGATCTGCTTGAATATAAAAAAAAGTAAAGCACCAATTTTGTAAAAATCAAATCTATTAAATCTGCACTACCTCAACTGTGCAATCAGCTCTATGGATACCCTGGGGAACATCAGGTGTTGTAGCATAAATGAAGTTAAGGGAGTCAAGATTTTGGCAGCAGCAGCGGATTGGAGACCACGAGGAACCTTGTGCACAGGCAGAATATATATATATATATATATATATATATATATATATATATATATATGCTTTCGTAGATTTTCACGGGTACAGGAATGCAGGTTTTGGTGTCCTCGGGTGTCTTCCCGTGTAAAAGTTGGGGTGTCTAGGCGACGTTTCGACGAGGTCTCACTCGTCATCTTCAGGCTGGTGCTTTCGGCTTCTTGTTACTGGAAAAGAGCAGGATCTCAGTGTTTGAGTTCCTATAAATACTGTTGAGGAGGTGTGGTGTATAGCCTCCAATGTTCTGGGCAGAGAGGAAGTTCCCAGGCTAGTGTGCCTTTTCTTCTTTTGTTCCTTAATTACTTGAGGGATATCTTGAGTGATTTCTTGAGTGATATCCTGAGTACCACTTAGGTGGGTCATTAGGTGTGGATTAGTTGCTAAAGCCTTCGTGTTTTTCTGAGAAGATGGCTGTACTGCACTTAGTTGTGCTCTGGCTTGGCTTCGTGTATAGGGGCGAGATGTGGTTTTGTGGCAAAACAAATACAATCCCCCCGAATACATCCTGGACCTGACCAAACACTGCCTAACCAACACGTACTTCATCCACAATGGACAAAGATACAAACAGATAGAAGGAGCACCTATGGGATCACCCCTCTCACCGGTCATCGCTAACCTGTACATGGAACACTTTGAAACCAATGCTTTAGACAAGTCAGAACACAAACCCAAACTTTGGCTCAGATATGTTGACGACACCTTTGTAATTTGGCCACACGGGAAGGAAAAACTAGATAGCTTCCTCACACATCTCAACAGCCTACACCCCAAAATACAATTCACTATGGAAATAGAAGCCAACAACCAACTTCCCTTCCTTGACGTCCTAATCTACAAAAAACCTGATGGCTCCCTAGGACACACTATCTACCGGAAAAAAAACACACACCAACCGCTACTTACATGCACAATCACACCACCACCCTGCACAAATAAACTCCGTAGCCAAGACTCTCATCTCCAGAACCAAACGCCTGGCTGACAAAGACCACTTGACAACTGAGTTACAGAATCTCTCAAATGTGTTAATCGCCAATGGATACCAGCAAAACAGGGTTACGAAGCTAATCCAAAAAGAAACACCCCCCAAAAACCAAGACACAGAAGAAAACAATGGCATGGCCCTCCTTCCTTATATCAAGGGCACTACAGATAAAATTAGCAAAATCCTCCATAAACACAATATCAAAACAGCCTTTTGCACCAACCAAAAAATAGCCAATATCCTCAGAAACCCCAAGGATAAAATCCAGTTGGAAAACCAAGGGGTCTATGAAATACCCTGCAAAGTCTGCCCAGCCACGTACATTGGACAAACAAACAGACGAATAAATGCACGCATCGCAGAACACAAGAATGCCGTCAAAAAAGAAGAAAAAACTTCCTCTCTTTTCCAACACATGAAAGAAACAGGACACGAAATTAATTTTGCAGACTCCAAATTGCTCTTTAACATGGAACATCACCACAAGAGAATAATCATGGAAGCCATCGAGATAGAGAAACACCCTCACAACATGAACAAGCGTGACGACACATCCCGCCTGCCAGACATCTGGAAATTAGCCCTCCCCACAAAAACCGACACCAGATCCAGAGGCACACAGAACGCCATCACCAATCAACCACACCAGACCCAAACCCAGACCCTCTCCACAGATAAATTACAGACACCATCCAGTAGCCAAACCATGTTGGCACCTCCGGATGCTGCACCCCCCTGCAATCCCTACACAGATCTGGCTGGCACAAGCCACAAAACCACATCTCGCCCCTATACACGAAGCCAAGCCAGAGCACAACTAAGTGCAGTACAGCCATCTTCTCAGAAAACACGAAGGCTTTAGCAACTAATCCACACCTAATGACCCACCTAAGTGGTACTCAGGATATCACTCAAGAAATCACTCAAGATATCCCTCAAGTAATTAAGGAACAAAAGAAGAAAAGGCACACTAGCCTGGGAACTTCCTCTCTGCCCAGAACATTGGAGGCTATACACCACACCTCCTCAACAGTATTTATAGGAACTCAAACACTGAGATCCTGCTCTTTTCCAGTAACAAGAAGCCGAAAGCACCAGCCTGAAGATGACGAGTGAGACCTCGTCGAAACGTCGCCTAGACACCCCAACTTTTACACGGGAAGACACCCGAGGACACCAAAACCTGCATATATATATATATATATATATATATATATATATATATATATAATCTCCCCTATATATATGCCCTTAAAATAACAAGCAAGCAATATCACTAGGGAGGGTAAACCTGTCAATTTCAATTTGTTTTTACACTGCTGTGTTCTTCTTAATAAGAAATGGTCTACTATATTCTGAAACACTGGCAGTTTTTAGACCATTTTTTAAGGGTAGCCTTAAAAATCTTCTTCTACTTGACCTTATGTGACATATGAGGAATTATTTCCTCTTTTTTTTGTATTTATGTAAAAAAAATTCCATTTTAATCCTGTTTCGCCAAATTTTAATAAAATCTTAACAATGAAAAATAAAGAAAAATGAACACTGGCAGCCAAAGCTCTATCATACAGCAACCTTTCAGTCGTCCTGCTTTTCTGATAGACCATTTCGTAGCAAACAAACAAAACAGCTTCACAGCATGTGAAAGACTGAGCTGCGTTTCCCAAACTCGTTTTCTTATGTTTACCCTTCTTTGAATCCTAGTTCAAATTGATTTTTGTGGGCGATTTTCCCCCTTCTTCTTCAGGAACAGGGGTGCAAAAATAATGACTCCAAGCACACTACGCTATTCACATAGACTTGAGATGTTTATGGCAGTGAGAGAAGATGCTTGCCTCAAGCGCAAGGAGGCAATCGAGTGTCGCTCCCTGTCACCAATGGATTAGTCCAATTCTTGGTTCTGATCCCGAAGCAAATTTTCCATTCCTAATGGCACTCACGCCTACCAGCTTTATTTATTTGAGCCTCTCAGCTGCTTCCTGTGTATTTCAGTTGGCATGAATGTAGAGTGAGATGTAAAAACACACACACAAACATACACAACTTGGCTGTTTTTTTAAAAGGATATAACTGGCAGTGCTTATCAGTGTTTCTCATTTCAATTCCAATGGAATATATAGGTGGGATATATGAAGCTGCCTTATCCTGGACAGACCATTGGCTAATCTATTTTTTATTTTCTTATAAATAATTTTTTATTAATTTTCAATTACATCTATCCAATTTAAGCCACTTCTAACATTGTTGTTGTTGTTTAGTTGTTTAGTCGTGTCCGACTTTTTGTGACCTCATGGACCAGAGCACGCCAGGCACTCCTGTCTTCCACTGCCTCACGCAGTTTGGTCAAATATTGTCCATGGAGTTTTCTTGGCAGGGATTCTGGAGTGGCTTGCCAGTTCCTGCTCCAGGTGGATCACGTTGGTCAAAACTCTCCACTATGACCTGTCCATCTTGGGTGGCCCTGCACGGCATAGCTCATAGCTTCTCTGAGTTATTCAAGCCCCTTCGCCATGGCAAGCCAGTGATCCATGAAGGGGATTCCAACATTACCAAATTACAATTACAGTTCAAAAATAAACCAACTGATAAGCCAATTATGCTTTTTAGATGGCCTCCCATGTGCTAGATTTCAAGGTAAGATAAATTAATTTAATTTTGCTTCTGAAATCTTATTTAATCCAATTACATTTCAATCTTAATCTAGATCCATCCCTGACAGCAGCCTTCCAGGGCTCCTATTTGGAGACACCAGAGATCAATTGGGGGGGGGCAACAATCCTCCTCTTGCTTTCCACTTTGGAAGTCGCTTCCCCCAATATTTTTGCAAGTTGGCACCTTTCTCCCTCCCTCCCTTGGGCAGCCACCTCCCTTCCAGGTGGGCACTGCCCTCTTTCCCCTGCTCGCCTCCCAGCTTTCGGTGACATTTCCAAGCCTGTCTGATCCGGAGCAGCTGGGAAGAAGCAGGCGGGCTGGCCGGCCGGCCAGCCAGTAGGAGAGACAGCTTGATTGTGTACTATGATATTCTAATAGATTATTGAATATGACTTTAGAAATCATTCCATTTTAAAGTTATGTTTTATTCTGATGTTTTGTATCGGATAAGATTGTTGTAAGGTGTGTGTTCTCTGTTGTATATCTTGTTGCTGCAAACCGCCTTGTAATTGAGAAAGGTGGCATACAAATTAATTGAGAAAGGTGGCATACAAATTAAAAGTGAAATGAAAACAAGAAAATGGTAGGAGGGGCGAGCAGGAGAGTGAGCAAGGGGTGGGGAGGAAGGAGGTAGAAGCTTTTTGCACAGTGGGCGAAAAGAAGAGGAGGAGAGGGAGGAGGAGGAGGAGTTTGGATTTGATACCCCGCCTTTCACTCCCCTTAAGGGGTCTCAAAGCGGCTAAGAATCTCCTTTCCCTTCCTACCCCACAACAAACACTCTGTGAGGTGAGTGAGGTTGAGAGACTTCAGAGAACTGTGACTAGCCCAAAGTCACCCAGCAGCTGCATGTGGAGGAGCGGGGACGCGAACCCGGTTCACCAGCTTACGAGTCCACCGCTCTTAACCACTACACCACACTGGCAAGAGGGCAAGGCGGAAGGAGAGGCCTGTGCCCAGTTGTAAATGACAGGTGAAGAGGCACTCTGCAGAAGGGCAGGGAGTTTGGAAGAAGTGCAGGTGGGGGGCAGGGGCCCCCCAATATTTTGTTCCCCATCCCCAAATATCCACGTATGGCTCTGGGCAGACTCTTTCAGTTTCTCGTTCTTGTTCAGCACTTTTCTTTCAGGGCTGAACTGTGTGATGGCACATTTGCTTATCAGGTTTGCTTAAAAGGTACTTTATCGCTTGAGCCCTGTCTAAAATGGAAGCTCCCTTTATTTGCTTTGCAAACACCGCTCATGGAGCATTAGACGCAAGCTCAAAATTGGCATTGCCAGATGATCCTCTGCACTCCATGTGGCTGACTATATTATGGGTTGTGTCACCGCAGTCTCTGTCCCTCTCACCCAGAGCTCCCATAACAACCAGTCACGACCTCTTTCAGATTGTTCTGCTTAAATGCGCAAACTCTAAAGGAAGCTGCTGCTGTCTCCACCTCCCCTCGCTAACGCATGGAGATTTCAATATTGTTCCAGCAAATTCACTGTCAAGAGCCTGACAGGTGTAATCTTTTCGTCTCTCTATGGGGCTAAAATTGTACCTTGCATAACTGTCCGGCGCTGTCTATTATGACCAAGATTACAGTGTATGCAGAGATGCAAAAATAAAAGCTGCCAGCCGCTTCTGGAGATAACCTACTGGCACATAACAAAGAGACTTTCTTGTCTGAGGAGTTGGTGCTTTAACTAAAAAAAAAAAGCAACCTAATTTATGAGGTGGCCTGGAGTTCCTTCCCTTCATGCACATTGCTCAAAACTGCAAACATCATATATTTTTTATCGTGTGTCGCTGCTGGTGTCCCAGGTGGCAGCAGTTGTAACTGTTCCTTCCAGTCAAGGCTTTAGCCTCAGTCATTCATGCTTTGGTAAACTCTCCTATTGATCATAGCGACATGCTTCACCTGGGGTTACTTTTCAAGACGGTTTGGAAACTTCAGCTAGTGTAGAAGGCTGAGACTTTTGATAAGGACAGACTTCAGGAAGCCCATGCTCCCTATTCTAGCTCAGCTACACTGGCTGCAGGCAGCCATACTTGAAGACTTCATTTCATCCACACTTTTAAGTGAACCATTTTTTATTTTTATTTTTTTGTGCCTGCTAAAAACATTCTTGTTTAGACAAGCCTTCCCAGATGCTTAGAAAGTCAGGGAGATTTTAATCTGTTTTAGTATTTTAACTTTTGTTATGTTTAAAGTACGGCTGTGAATTTTTCTCCCTTTTATTGCTTTATCTTTTTCTAAAACCACTTTGAGGGTTTTTACAATCAAGCAGATTATAAATTTTATGGAATGAATGAATGATTGAATGAATGAAGCAGCCTAATTCAAACTTTCCCAACAGATCAGAATGCTCCCCCCTGCTTTGGGGGGTTACTTCTTCAACTTTTGTGATACGGTGGATCACGTACTGCTGTTTTCCTGTTTTCTTAACAGAGACTTGTATAAAGAGTTGTATAAAGGGTTAATCATAATGAACTGTGCCAATGCATTCAGCCACTTATGTGACTTTCTGCTTGCGGATCAAGACAAGTTGATTGCAGCTAAAACCGCAAAAAATAATAATAAGCAAGCACCGTTAAAATAAGGATGACAACAATGCCCTGAGTTTTCGCTTGTGGGATCTCACCGGATCCCGGAAACCACTGCTGCAGCTGCTTCTCTTCACTTCTCCAGCAGTGAGGAGGGAGAGCACTTGTAGTTGTACCAGAAAAAATGAGAAGTGGCAGCAATGGTGGCTTCTGGTGAGATCTCTCAAGAGCTCACAAGAGCTCTGCAAGATGTTGTGGAGCACTTGGTGAGATGTTTCCAGAAGCCAGCACTGCTTCTCCTCAGGGTACCACCTCTGGGATCCCACCACCCAAGGTGACTGTCTCAGTCTGCCTCATGGACGGGACAGCTCTGTCTCCACATTTCTGATTCCCAATAACTGGCATAACTTAACAATAGTGATGGCCAGAATCTTGGATGGCTTTGACAGAGAATTAGACACATTCAAGGAAGTTAATAGCTACTAGCTAAAAAATGAGGGCACAAGGAGAAGGGGACAACAGAGGACGAGATGGTTGGACAGTGTTCTCGAAGCTACCAGCATGAGTTTGACCAAACTGCGGAAGGCAGTGGAAGACAGGAGTGCCTGGCGTGCTCTGGTCCATGGGGTCACAGTGAGACACGACTAAACAATTAAACATCAACAACAAAGGCTGTATTCCATATCCACTGTTGGGGGCTGTCGTTGTTGTTGGCATTCGTCTGTCTCAAGATACAATGGCGTTCGCTGAAAACCACAAGAGGGGAGAGTGCTGTGGCACCCAAGTCCTCTTTGAAACTTTCCCACAAACATCTGGTTGATCACTGTGGGCACAGGATGTTGGACTGGTTGGGCCACTTGCCTGATCCAGGAGGACTTTTTTTATGTTCGTAATCTGGATTAATTAACGAAGTGTAATGTGGGTGTGCTCCTACATGGTTAGCGATAGGCATTTCAAAGTAGTACATTCAATCTCCTTGCTTTCAGGTCCACCTGGGCCTCCAGGGATTGTGATTGTTGAGGAGATCACGGAGACCACGGCAACACTTTCATGGACACCGGGGGCGGACAACCACAGTCCTATCACCTCCTACAATCTTCAAGCACGGAGTCCATTTTCACTTGGTTGGCAGACAGTGAAAACAGGTGAGAGTTTTTGTGTGTGAGTGTGTGTTTTTAACGACATAGAAATTAAGAAACTTGAAACTGAGCTACAACGTTTTATCAATTACTTGCTTAGTTCAATCAGTTAAAAACATTTTCATCGACTAAAGGGATAAGCCCGTGTGTGTGTGTGTGTGTGTGTACTCTTCTAAGGCTGACCTTCCTGTGTGAGTGAAAACAGGGGTCTTCATAGAGTTGTAGAACTGTAGAACTAGAAAGGATGCTGAGGCTCATCTTGTCCAACCCCTGTGATAGAAGAATCTCAATTAAAGCATCCATGACAGATAACCATTCAACTTCTGCTTAAAAACCTCCAGTGAAGGAGAGTCCACCACCTCTTGTGGGAATCCATTCCACTGTCAAACAGCTCTTACTTTCAGAAAGTTCTGTCAGAGGTTTAGTCGGAATCTTGTAACTTGAAGCCATTGGGTTTTGGGTCCTACCCTCTGGAGCAGGAGAAAACAAGCTTGTTCCATCTTCCATGTGACAACCCTTTAGATATTCAAAGGTGGCAATCATATCACCTCTCAGTCTCCTCTTCTCCAGGCTAAATGTGATGATTTTGATCCAAACTTAACCATACTTAGAGCAGACCCATTGATATCAATGGCACTTAAGTTAGTCGTGTTTAGGGACTGGTGGATTAGCCCACTTCACTTTTGTGTCAGCCTCACCTGCTTTCAGTTACACGTCCACCCCCACCCCCCTTTTTTTGGCAATTTAGTTGTATAGCATCAGCTCCAGTGGGATTCTTGTCATCACCCTCTGGGAAGAAAGAATGATGGCGACAGCACTGAGAGCTTCACTGCTCCCACTGTGCCACCAAACTGAATCACAAAACCAGCAGCTTTAAAAATTGTAAAGGAAAAGGGGGGGGGCGATTTTAGAAGGGAAAGGTTAAGAAGACACACACATACAATTGTTGGCCTCCTTCCCTGCCTCCAAATTAATTCTCCACAGAATCAATTCATCCCCTCTCCTTCTGTTTCATCTCGGAGGTTATCCCTTAAATCCCCTCCTAAATTTGGTCAACCCCCCACAAAATGAAAGGGTTTAAGGTCAGTGAGAAAGAGGAGGATTGGTTTGAGAAAATATTGAATTATTTGGGTAGGTTTGAGCAATTTGGGGCAATTAAAATGTTAAAAGTTAAATAAACCTTGTGGATGGAGGAGTGTTAACGTATATAAAATTGTACATATGGTTGATTTGAATATGCTATTATTGATTATCTATACCCAGTGTATCAGCCGCCTGGGGGGTTTCACTGTTTGTTTTTTGGTTGCTGGTAAAAAATATTAAACAAAAAAAAAACAACCCATAAAAGAAAGCTAACTTTCATTTAAGTCAATATTTAAATACTAATTTTATCTCAGAGGCCATTCTTAAATGTATGTTTTTTTAAAAAAACTGAAAATAGTACTTAAATCTGTATTTTTGACACATTTTAACAAGAGCTGCAATGCAACATTTGAAAAAGTTTGAAATCTATTAGTTTTTGAGCTGCAGGTTGGTCTGAGAGGTGAAAATCAGGGAACCTTGCTTAGGAATTTGCAACTGTTGGATTCTTCAAGCATCCCCCAGTTGCCCCACTGACAGCAGCCAGTTCTCCCAACTTCAGTTTAGCAACACTGGGAGAAGGTGTTTATGGATTGTGCTGCTTTAATGAGTCACTCTGCTTACTTGTTCTTTGTAGTTCCAGAAAACATCAGCGGTGACATGGAGTCTGCCATGGCTGTCGAGCTGAACCCGTGGGTGGAATATGAATTTAGAGTTGTTGCAACCAACAAAATTGGGACTGGAGATCCAAGCGCGCCCTCTAGAGTGATCCGAACCAAGGAAGCAGGTAAGAGCTTTGATGGGAAACAAGAACTTTGAAATGACTGTGATACATAGGCTGTGCTCACACGTGGGGTTTGTTCTGCTACTTTTACTATTTATAATGCTACAGATTCTGTCGAGATCCCCAACGTTCCTTATCCACTGCAGTACCCATGTTGCATTATGGGACTGTGGCTTTTTAAAATCAATATGCCATGAGTAACGAGATCAATAGCGGGAGTTGCTTTGAGGCCTGAAAGGTGGATCACAGATATTTTAACCAGAAAGGTAACGTGTGAAATGTTTTCTGAACTGTGAGGCTCCAAATTGTAGGTGGGCCTAGCAGGTAAGCCTGCAGAGTATTCCTTCAAAAACTGGCTCATGCGTTGGCGGCTTCCAAATAATACGTTGTTGCTTTAATAAATTTATATTAGATTTTAACAGTTGGTTTCATTCAATTAGCTTTGCTCTCGTTCCTAGACAATTACGCACCTGATACATTGAAATGCAGCACATTCTGGCTTGCCTGCTTATCGGTGTGACGTATTAACAAGGTGTTAGTAACTCAAGGCTGGTTTTTACGATGTGCCTGCCATGTAGAAGCTGCCAGAAACCCACTTTCATGTGGCCGAGAGCTCCCTGTGCAAAAGCTGCTTGCCCTGTCATGCTATTCTTGTTTTCTGGGTTATATTTTTTCGAAACTTGCTTTATGTTTTCTGTTCTTGATTATGTTGGGGCTTTTGTTTTTCATTTAGCTGCACTGATTTTTGCTTCATGTGTTTCTATCCTGGAGAATGGTCCTGAAGTTCCCATGAGTCTATTCTACTGTTCAAATGAAGCAGATCTGGAAGGGACTACAGTGGTGCCCCGCAAGACGAATGCCTCACAAGACGGAAAACCCGCTCTCCCCCCCCCCTTTTTCTAAGCCGCTAAGCCGCTAATAGCCTTTTAGCAGCTAAGCCGCTAAGCCTTTAATAGCCGCTAAGCCGCTAAACCGCTAATAGCGCTAATCCGCTAAGCTGCTAATAGGGTTGCTTCGCAAGACGAAAAAAACCGCTAGACGAAGAGAATTGCGGAACGGATTCTTTTCGTCTTGCGAGGCACCACTGTATAGCAAGCTGCATTAGGCCTAGTCAGATCACTAGCTCAATACAGTGGTACCTCGGGTTAAGTACTTAATTCGTTCTGGAGGTCCGTACTTAACCTGAAACTGTTCTTAACCTGAAGCACCACTTTAGCTAATGGGGCCTCCCGCTGCTGCTGCGCTGCCGGAGCACGATTTCTGTTCTCATCCTGAAGCAAAGTTCTTAACCTGAAGCACTATTTCTGGGTTAGCGTAGTCTGTAACCTGAAGCGTATGTAACCTGAAGCATATGTAACCCGAGGTACCACTGTACTTCCTACACTGACTAGCAGGATTTCAAGATAGCGTCCCCCACCCACACCACAGGTACTACCTGGAAATGCCAGGGATTTTGCTTAGGACCTCTGAGGTAATATTTCTCATAGGAAAATCCTTGGGCTTACTTGGATTGTCAAACAAAGACACCAGCCAAGAATACAGAAGCAAAACAGCAGCCTGTAGGCCTGAACTTTATTTAAAAGACTGTTGCAACAGGACTTCCACCTACCACATGGTAGAAGCCTCGAGCAAAGGATGGCTCCAGCTTTTATAAATTTTCCCTTACACCCAAAACACCCTTAGTGTAGCGGCAGCGAGATGAGCGCTGCAACCCCAGAGTCGGCCACGACTGGACCTAATGGTCAGGGGTCTCTTTACCTTTACCTTTTTATCTCTTGCGCAAGAGACTGCTGAGTACGTGATCCCAGGTTTCAGAGATTATGGCTGTCTCTACCCATTTCCCAGTTCCCCCTTTGATAGCCATCTTTTCCCTGTGTAAAATGAAGTTGGAATGGTGTCGATCTGACGTACAGCTGATTTTATATGAATATTTGAAGGTTTTGCTGCACGAGGCAAGGTGAATACTATGTAACCTTGAACAAGATACAAAGCAGAAAAACTGTGGCGGTTTTATGGAGATATTTTCAAAATGGAATGGTGTCGGTTTGGGGGAGGGTCTGGGAGTGCAGTGTCCCATTTAACTGGAAACAACCCCTCCAACCTTTATAAAAATTCTGGTAACACATTCAAAGCTAGTCCTACTCATAGTAGATCCACTGAATTTAATAAGCATTGCTAACTTCCAATGGGTCTACTCTGAGTAGGATACAACTCTTTGCATGCAAACCAGATGCTTTGCAACTGAGGTATGGCACTTCCCCAACCTGCTCCCTCCCTGGATGGAGAGCAGGATTTATATGTTAAGAAATTATAAATATCCTGAACCTCCCCAGAATTCTTCAGCCTTGCTGTTCGACTATAGCTCCCGCATCCCTGACCTGGCTGTCATTGATGGAAGCTGTAAGTCCAGCAACAAGGAGACCGAAGGTTAAAGAACACTGAGCTACACCAGTTCTGAAGCAAGCCGGTCACCTGACTCACATATATTTTGCGAAGCTATTTGCAGATGTCACAAGCAGGGTAAAGGCTCTTCAAGACCAGTCCAGAGCTGTCGGAGTAGCCCACAGATGTCACTGAACTACAACTCCCAACTGCCCCAGCAAACATGTCCACAAATGCTGTAAAAAAATGTGGTTGGTTTTTCGCACCCGAAAGGGTTCTGCTGGTGTGGTTTTGGGGATACCTGGCAGTTACAGAGAGCTTCTGCCTCTTCTTTCCTTTTCGACTACAGCCGCTCCTTGCACGTTTTGCTCCATTACAGTCTAATGGGAAAGAAGGAAAAACGAGATAAAAAATACATGAGCGCCTTCTCAGAAATGCATGTTCGGAAAAGCTTTTACCACCCACGTTATGACTTAGATGGTTTCCCCCACGACATATGGGCTCACTCGGTCAAACAGAAACGGTCTAGCTGCTCCTCTGATTAGCCAGGCGGCACAAATCAAAGCAGACATGGACATTACACAGAGAGGGCAGCTTATCTCAGGTGATAGGCTGCATCCCTGCGTCCGTGTTCCTTCTACGTTTCGAACGCCTATCCTGCCTTCTGTGTTTTAATGGGCCAGGTGTGTTTTAGGCTGCAAGTGCATAAATTCCACGCCACCTTGACTTATGAAATTTTCATGACACAGGTTTGCTGTGATTTGCCTCGGTATCTCCCATGCACCCACCTGATAGCCGTTGTTTTACCAGTCAGGGCATCTTATATTTTCCTTCCGTCTTCATAATAAACATACACTCCTCAGCACATAGTCAAAGTAAAATGGGGATATTCTGTGCTTTCACACTGTGCTTCTGGTTTGGATTTTTGTTTGTGAAGGCTCAGCTATGGCTGTTCACTCCGTAACTGCAAATTAATTACTGGTAGCGACTTTATGATGACCATTCGTGAGAGGCTCAGTTTGGGAAATTCAGTCCCCAGACTAGTAATAATAGCCATCATTATTATTGATAGCATTACTCACATTTATATGCCACTCTCCTGTCACTCGGTGCACCTCAGAGCAGCCTGGTCAATACTTTTAAAAAAATTAATAATTTAATAAAAGTACATGACATACTTGAGAAAACAGCAGCCAGAGGATTATAACAATCAAACAGGAAATCATTAAACCATAGATTTTTCCCACACGGGCCTCAAAATATCCAACTATAAAAGAACCGAAAGAGGAATCAGCTACATATTCAATAGTCTACTCCAGTATCAGATATCTAGAGAAGAGAGTTGCTGCTGGGAATACAGAAATTGGCTATCGCTAATCTAGAATAATGCTTTGTTGCTCCATAGGGAGTATGAATCCAGTAAATGTTATGCCACATAGGGCGCCTGTTTGCCCGGCTACAACAAAGCTATAACCAGGCTCCCTGGTGAGATATTTTTTTCTTTGTTCGCTTGCTTATGTATGTACAAAGGATTTATTACATGGGGGAGTGTTCAAAAATGGCACACGCATACACACCTTTATTTATTTAACAGGTTTACAAACAAAAATATTTCACACCCTGAAATATACTCAGAGTCGAGAGTGGATTTCATGCTCTTTAGTGGTGAGGAGGAATGGAAGTTCCCCCAAAGTATCTGCTTTGTATACATTATTTACACATTGGGCTGCACGTGATTGGCTAATTCTGGAATTCTCCTGTAGACTAATCAGGTTGTGGATTCACTTCCATCTGGAGCTGGATTGGATGGCTCCTGCAGACCAATCATACTGCTGCATTGTTCTAGGACCAATCAGACTGCTGCATTCTGAATCCTATTGTTCTAGGACCAATCAGACTGCTGCATTTCGGATCCTATTGTTCTAGGACCAATCAGACTGCTGCATTTTGGATCCTATTCAACTCAGTACATAACACACCCGCAGTTTGAAGTGGTACAGTCCATGCTACCAGTTCCATATTCTTCTGCCTATAGACCAGGTCAGGAATGTGGCCCCCCAGAGCACAGGGGATGAGTTAGACTCAGAGATTGAACTAAGTTAATGAGGGACCAATTCTGCTGATGAGAACTGCCTGTCAGAATCGAGAAAGGGCACTTTGACACCACCACCCCTTTTTGAAGAGGACTCTATTAGCTCTCAAGGAGAGGAAGAGTTGGAAGACAGCCAGAGCATTGCTATGCAATCAGCAAATAAGCAGAGGTCTGAGTCTGGGTTGAGTGAGAATGAGGATGAGGGGGGAGGCCAGCCTCTCAGACCCAAATCCATGCATTTGGATAAAATCAAAGGGCAACGAAAGAGCAGGAGGGGAAAGGCAGGAGTCTGGCATCCTTCCTGTTGTGGGAGGAGCGAAACTTCAGACTGACCAACAAATGTAATTGTGAACAGGCGAAATGCTGGGCTCTGGGTGTGTCTTTTGTAAATAAACCTTCATAAAAACTGCTGAAGAGCCTATCAGAAGAGTCCTTGCTTATCTGCTAGAGATCATTACAGACCAGGCCTCAAAATGTCCTGTAAAACACAGCCAACAATGCTCCCCATGAGATGTGCATTGCAGAGCAG